GGAAAACTAGCCCAAAATAGAAAAAAAACAAGTTAGCTGAATATTTCTTGATATCACCATAATTTATCATCAAAACCAACCCGAAATACATTCTCCTGCTCCTGTCAATCGCAGTGATACCACATATGTGTATATTAGTGTTTGTTTGCCCCTGTAATAGGGCCCACAAACAATGGTGCACATTTTGCATTTTTTTTATCCTGGCTAAAGCACACTGACACTGACATTAACTGACACTCATACTAATTAAGTTTTTTTTTATTCTACCCAAAATATCCCATTACCTTTGACTCACCGACCTTGACCTTTGATCCTGACCTTGACCCTAACTCTAACCCTGGCAAACCTAGATCTTGTTATTTTTTCTTTAGTTTTTTTTTTTTTATAATTTTACTTTTTATTGATTTTCAAAATGCTTACAACAAACAGAATTGCATAGAATCGCGAAGTAACAATCACAAAGCAATAAAAGAAGAGAGAAATAGGCTCATCGATGAGAGGTATATAGGTACATACAATGTCAATACATAAACAGTGAATCAGCCATCATTTTCAGACAATTGAGTAGGCAAATTGAAAATGAAAAGATCCCACGGTTCCCAAACTGCCTCAAAGATGGGGGACAGAGTTAGCATGCAAAGCAGTGAGGTACTCCATTCTTCTAATCTCTGCTATAATCTTCACACAATTTTGATCGTGTAGGAGGCATAGTAGAAAGCCAATGCATCGGAATGGTTCTTCTAGCCGCTGTTAAAACATGGGAGGATAGTTTCCTGGCAAATTTGGAGAGGCCTAAAAAAGGTAGGCCCAACAAAAAGTGGATGGGCTCAAATGAAATAGGAGCCTGTAAAAGTAGCTGCAAAATGTTAAGGACCTCTCTCCAAAAGGGTGCAATGTGCTGGCAGCTCCAGAAAATGTGGAAGAGAGTGCCAGTTTCCTTGCTACATCGCCAGCAGCCAGAAGAAGCACTCGGATTGCGAGCATGGAGAACCTCAGGAGTCTTATACTAAAACATAAGTATTTTATAAGTGTTTTCTTTATATACTACACATATAAAAGATCTGGAGGCAGCCTTCCAAATCCTACTCCATTGATCCAAGGCAATATCACTTTGGAGGATTCGGGGGCCATTTACGCATATAAAGGTGTGTATCAATAGAAAAGGGGCAGGCATTTTGAAGCAGCTTATAAGTAGAGGAAATTATGCCCCCTTGGTATGGACCCTGAATGCAGATGCATTCAAAGGGAGTAGGCTTCTCAAGAGTTAAAGATGGGGCTTTGGAGGAAAAAAAGTGACGTTTCTGTAGATAAACATAATATTGGTGAGTTGACATACAGGTGGCTTTTTGAATCTTAGAAAAGGATTTAAGCTTATGAGTCACTGGGTGGACCAAGTGTTGCAACTGAAATAGATTGGCCTCGGCCCCGGGGCTCACGCGAGCCATGGCCAAACTATCTGGGAGACTGGGATTAAGTATGACATTGGCTAGGGGGGAACACAGAGAAGACAGGGCAAAGTTGACCCCACACCGCCACCATATAGATAATGTGAAATGCATGGGCCCAAGCAGGAGATGTTTGTGGGAGGTGGTTTCAAAGTTGGTCCTAGACCAAAGTAGAGAACAAGGGTGTGCTGGACTTAATTGTAGCCATTCAATCTCAGCCCATTTATTAGGGGGGCGCTGGGAGGACCATGAAACAAGAACATGAAGGTGAGTAGCTAAATAATATGACACAATGTCTGGGCTCCCCAAACCCCCCTAGATCGATGGGAAAGATGGACAGTACCGGCAATTCGGTGAGATTTATTATGCCAGATGAAGTGGAGGAAGGATTTCTAAAAGGAGCGCAACTTGGACATGGGGATAGGAACAGGAAGCATCTCAAACAGATACAGAAGTTTGGGCAGTATGGTAATTTTTAGCACATTAATGCATCCAAGGAAGGAGATGGCAAGATTGTCCCAGGATTTTAAGGATTGAGAAATTGCATGAAACAGTGGGGAGAAATTAGCTTCATAAAAGGGAGTGGTACGAGGAAGTAAGGTTGGTACCTAAATACTTCAAGGCGCGGGGGCACCACCAATAGGGATAATTTAACTGAAGAGAAGATAAAGTTGTAGATGGGTGTAGATGGTATGTGGAGTGGTAATGCTTCAGTTTTAGATGTGTTAATTGTATAACCCGACAGGGCACCGAAAAGCTGTAAAGTACAATGTAAGACCGGCAAAGTAAGGTGGGGCTCCGTCAGCATCAGCACGATATCATCAGCAAACAAAGACAATTTAAAGCCACTGTTGTGGGTGCGTATCCCATGGATATCTGGATTGGATCTAATAACTATAGCCAGGGGTTCCAAACAGAGGATAAACAACAAGGGAGAAAGCTGGCATCCCTGGCGTGTACCGTTGGACATCCGAAAAGAAGGGGATAAAAACGACACTAATTTGACCTGAGAGGAGGAAGTGGAGTAAATGACTTTTAAAGCAGCTACAAATGAACCACTAAACTCAAATCTCTCCAGGACTAGAAAGATGTGTGGCCAATTAAGTTGGCCAAATGCTTTTTGGGCATCCAAGCTCAACATGAGAGCAGGAGTCAGGGACGTATTGACTAGATCAATCAGGGTCAATGGTCCTCCTGGTGTTATCTGTGGCATGTCTAGCCAGGACCAAGGGCGGACTGACCATTCGAGCACTCGGGCATTGCCCAAGGGCACGGGTCAGTAGGGGGCCCCATGAAGTGCCCCTGGTACCTTTTATAGGCTTTTTTTGGGTGTGCATTGAGTGTGGGCAAGGACACAGGAGCCCCATGATCCCCTATTGCCCGGGGGGCTCCATGAGTTGTCAGTCTGCCCCTGGCCAGGACAAAGCCCATCTGGTCTCTGTGTATAAGCTTGGAGATACACTTGGCCAATCTGTTAGCTAGTATTTTCGTAAAAATCTTGTAGTCAGAATTTATTAGGGCTATAGGACGATAATTATCTGGAAGGGAATGGTCCTTATCCAGCTTAGGGATGACAGATATGTATGCGCGTGTAAAATCATCGTGCTGATGCGATCCCTTCAAGAGATGCCAAAACAAGGTCAGGAGATGGGGTGCTAAGATTTCAATAAAGGATTTGTAATATGAGTAAGGAAGACTGTCCAGCCATGGAGATTTGTGAGTAGAGAGATGTTTGACAACATCCAATAATTCTTCAATGGAGATGTACGCATTTAGGGCTGTAACATCGACAGGTGGCAAATGTGGTAATTGTGAGGAGTCAAAAAAAAAGCGTCAAAAGCAGCCATCTGAAGGGGAGGGTGATTATCAGGGGCTAGGCAATTATAAAGCTTCTCATAGTATTCCCCAAATACTGTAGCCATAACATGTGGGTCATATGTGGGTTTGCCATCAGACTGGAGTAGGTGACCCGGTAGTGAGGGGGATGTTTGAGATTTAAGTCTATTTTCGAATCATGCAATGCGGTTTATTAGAGAACTCATACAATTTTTGCATAGCCAAAGAGAGAGATTGGGCAGTTTTATGCAGGTCAAGAGCCCTAATTTGGTCTCGGATATGAGAAACTTTTTGGAGCTGAAGTATAGATGGGTTATCTAGTAATCGTCGTTTGGCTAAGGATAGTTGGTGTAAGAGAGATTGTCTGGCACAGAGGCCTTCTTTAAACGAGTGCCCATGCAAATACAGAGGCTTCTGAAGCTTCCCAGAGGGTTGAGGATGAAGCTACCGAGCCAACATTATGTTGAAAATAAGCATCCAGGCCCCGAGAGAGTTCCTCTCGAAGTTGTTCCGAGCACAGAAAACTCTCAATGAGGCACCAGTGGCAGACATTAGGGGAGGAGTTAGGGAGAAGGAGATCAAGCGACAGTGAGGCATGATCTGACCAAGTCAGAAGAGACCAAGAAGGGGATCAGGGGAGCGGTGACAAAAAAAATTATCCAAAACGAGAGAACATGCAATGTGGAGTAGAATAAAATGTGAATTGCCTATGGAAAGGATGTTTGACCCACCAGGCAACAAAGAGGTGATGCTCCCGGATCAGTTTACGGAAAGCCGTTGAGGAGGAGCATAGTCTCTTCGACGGAGTAGATGCAAAGAGGACCTTCCTATCCTTATGAGGGGACATAACCAGGTTAAAATCCCCCCAACAATCATGCATGGAGTAGATAGGGAACACAATTTATCTATAGTTTGGTAGAGAAATAACAGCTGACTATAGTTGGGTGCATACAAGTTCAAAAGCACAAATGGAGAACCCTCGTACATACATTCCAGCAAAACATAACGACCAAGTGGGTCAACTCAAGAGGAGAAGACCAGCAGGGAACAGTTTTTCAGAATCAAAATAGCTACTCCAGCTTTCCCAGAGGGGTCAAAAGCCGAATAGGATTGTGAAAAGCTCTTAAAGGTAAAGCAAAAAGAACCATCCTGTTTAAAATGGGTTTCCTGAATAAAAATGACATCTGCTCCCGAGGATCTGAACTCCTTCAGAGCCATCCACCATTTTTGGACTGAGTTAACCTCCCTGGCGGTATGATTATTTCAGATTTTTGGTGCTGAAAGCGGTACCATTATTTTGCATGGAAATTTGGCGTTTTATATTGTAGGCCTGTAATTCTTAGGAATAACTCATTGAAATCTGTCCGAACAAGAGTCTAGTAAACATCCCGGGTAGGATAAAACTTGAAATACAAAATCATAAATTATAATTTAATAAATAATCATAAAAAATAATAATATAATAATAATAAATTTAATTCAATAATATAATCAAACCAAAAACACTGAAATTTGAAATAGAGCGCCCAAGTTCACACATCACTGAGCAAAGTCGCAAAATCGTTTTCAGTGTCTGATGATGAATTTCCCCACGAATCATTATCACTCAATTCTGCAAGTAGTTCTAATTTACTATCGCTGTTCTCTAGCTGATCTAAAACCGCTTTTGACCTAAAGGGATGCTTTTTGGACGCCATGGACATTTCTCAGTTTCCAGGTAGAAAGAACAGTAAAAATGCAGGCAGGGCACAGGACAAAGCAGTAGGGACAATATGTATGTGAAATGGTTTAGTACAGTAATGTTTTACTATGTGATTTTAGTGATTTTTGTGAATGTCACTTTTTGTCGCCGTCCCCCGTACGTCCCAACGCTCGCAGAGGACGGAACCCAGATGACAGATGCCGGCATCCGCCGGATTACATTGCTGAGGGACACTGCAGGAGGGACATCACGGAATCGCAGGACAATCTAAGTGACTGAGGGATCGCGGAGCCGCGCCGCATGGTAAGCCCGAGTGTAGCTCGGGGTTACCGCTTGTGGTACTGAAACTTTACCCCAAGCTATACTGGGGAATACCGCCAGGGAGGTTAAGACCTTTGACATTGTATGACAACAGCCTTAAAGCCATCATGAAACAGTAATGGGTGTATCAGCTGTGCAACCTGAGTATATAGAAAAATTATCATCAATGAGGCAAAATAGAAAACAACAGGAATAGAAAACCAGGTGATTAGCATGGCAAAAGGCCTATCACAAACAAATTAATCACTCAGAACAGATGCCATAGGGAGTACGGCAAGAAACAAAGATATCATCAAAGATATGTACCTGGGATATTGGAGATACCCTGAGTCGTCAGGGCCGAAGACGTGATGCACCAGGGGGCAACACGGCAGCTGACCCAACATGACAGGTGCCTACCTCAGTAATTCACATAGCAGTTGTAGTCAGGACATAGCAATGCGGAAAAATGCTAAGGCACACATGGGAATAAGGAAGCCCAATTAACAGGGCGGGGAAACCTGATATGTAAAAGAGTCAGGTGGTGGGGCCCGCCAAACAAGGAAGTCGAGGATGCCGAGGAGTACAAGGAAATCTCTTCCTCACAGGTTTAGAGGGTGTCCAGATCTTGCGTGGATTAGCAGAGGGCCTGGATGGAGTAGGAGGTTGCGGAAGGCTTCTTCCGGCAGGGGAGGGAGCCCCAACTGTTTAAAGAAGGAGTCTGCATCATACAAGTCACGAAGTATGACTTGGGCATTATCTTTGTAGACAACTAGTTTGAAAGGAAATCCCCACTAGTAAGCGATACAATGCTGCTGGAGATGAGTTTTGATCGGTTTCAAGACTGTCTTTTTGCCAAGGTAATGGGGGATAAATCACTGAAAATTTGAAGCCTGTCTTCTTTAAATTCCAAAGAGGACTTGTTGGGAGTAGAAAGAGAACAAGGCTTCTTTGCTGTCAATGTAGTGAAAATGGATGATAACATCTCTAGGCCTGGTGCCCTCAGGAGGTTTTTGGGCCCAGCAACCTATGGGCCCGGTCCATTCGCCAATCGACATCTGGGACCTTGGGGGCCAGAGTGATAAATAGGAGGAGTTTTGAAAAATAGGTCATACTGCAAAACCAGGAGATCTGGAGAGAGGTTGACAACACTAAAAGTCCCACCAGTTCTTTAAAGGGAGGTGGGTCATTTGCTTGGTATCAGGAGTCAAATGATGCAGTCAGGCAAATTCCTAGGTATTGAAGGGAGGATGGCCACAAGAAGCTGTATTTGTCTTGGAGCCCCCGAAGTCAAAGAAAATTTCAGGGCCTTAGATTTGGCTTTATTGACCTCTAAACATGACAATTGCTGAAAGTCGTAAAGAACCTTAAACAAGTTAGGTAAGGAGGTGTGAGGCGAAGATTCAAACAAGATGTTGGTGGCAAAGAGCATCAGATTATGGTGCTCACCCCCACCAGTTCCATGCTCCTGTCATCCAGGTGGGCTTGAATGACTTCAGATAGCGGCTTCAAAGCCTGGATGAACATAATGGAGGAAGAGGGGCAACCTTGCCTTGTTCCTCATCTAACTGGGAATAGGATAGAGGTGAAACCAGCATATTTCAGGATTGCAGGGTGTTGGGCATAGAAAACAGAAATCCGATAGATAACGGCTTCCGTAAAATACTATCTGGAAAGTGCATAGAGCATTTAGTCCCACAGGATGGTGTTGAAAGCTTTTCGGACATCGAGGAAAAGCAGCAAAGCCGTGACGTGATTTGGCCTAATGGATGAGGTGGATTTCCCTGTGATTGTTTGCCACGGTGCTCCAGAAAGGAACAAATCCAACCTGGTCTTTGTGAATCAAGTTACCTAAGAAGGTGTTGAGCCTGGAGGTGAGAATTTTGGCCAAGATCTTCACATCAACGTTTAAGAGGGGTATGGAGCAAAAGTTGTACCAAGCGTGAAGGCCAGTTTCCTGTTTTGGGATCATGACAACGTGGGCCTTCAGGGATTCTGGGGAAAGGGATGGCAAGTCTTAGGTTGGGTGTGGGTGTTCACTCTCTTTTGGTCTGTTACAAACGAAAGGGTTTTAATATATCTATTAAAAAAGTGCACAAAATACCTGTTGATCCTGAAAACCCATAAACATATATATTCCTGTGCTCTCTTACTGTACACTTAATCAGCATTGTTCTCAGCTCTCAATGTGGACTACACATCACCTTCTAGTAGTCCTGTCCTAGACTACTCCTTTAAGGGTTGTTCGCCCTAAAAATGTATGCATAGCATAAACCAACATATCAATGTAGTGAGGATGATAGGAAAATGTAGTTTTTGGCTCCTTCTGTGATCAAGGAAGCAGCGATTGTTTGGCCTAGTTTGTTGAGGATTTCAGAGGCTGTGAGTTTGATTGCTTCCCCTGCCTCTGAGAGAAACTCCTAGAGCTTAGGAAGGGAGATTCAAACAACCGGCCTACATATTTATCAATCTCCAGCCAATCCCTGGAGACATGTGTCCAGAAGGGGGCTGGATAGATGATAGTCTAAAGCACTGGAGAGCTAGGCTCCATCTCCCCAGGAGTTTTCCAAAGCCTACATTCAGTGTCCTGGAAGTTGTATAGGGTACCAGTAGTTGTACATTGGCATAAGGTAATCAGATGCCAAATAAACTTCCCTCATGGTATTCAGCTATGAGGTTTTAGGCAGTTCAAAAAGTTGCCACATGGTCTTCGGCTGTGAGAGTTTAGACTGTCTAACATTCACGTTTACATAAGCAGAAGGATGACCACTTGTTGATGTTACTGAGTGTTTTGGAGTAGCCCAAGCCCAAAACTCTCTCCTGATAAAGTTTCTTCAAGCAATAAATCTTAAAAAAAATATCCCCTAGACTGTGTTATTGGAGGCAATGTGAAGGGGTATTGCTACACCAACCTCAACAGATTTGCTATTCACTCTAATAATGCAAAAATATTGATTCTTCATCTTATGTATGGCCAGCCTTGAACTTTTAATTTTAAATGAACTTTAACTCACTATCTCCATCCCCCACATGCTTGGTAAATCAGTATTTTATGAGAACCCAGCATAAGAGGAGGTAGATAGATAGATAGATAGATAGATAGATAGATAGATAGATATAGATAGATAGATAGATAGATAAAAGAGAAAGAAGCCACTGCTGATTTGTTTTAAAGTGGCAATACCTAGTGAGTTACTTACCTGTAAAATGTATGCAGGCAGGAAGTCCAGACTTCACTGGCAAAGCCTTTGTACAATGAATTTCTTTTTTTTTCTCTATAATATGATGGTCAAACACATCTGGTAGGCCTTTTTGGAGCATGGAGTGGGGTGACACGTGTCTGCACGAATAACGTTTGGTCATCTAGCAATTGAAGATTCACAGTTGCACTTTTGTTACATTTAACTTTTGAACTGGGACTCACTTCTATTATATAATTTTTCTTATCACTTTTTATGATTTAGATATGGCATTGGAATATGTTCATATCCAGTTTTACAGACTGACAGCTAGGATTGCATTATCACTGTTATATTTTTATTTTTCAGAGCTACACTTTTATATATATTTATTTGAGCCAGCGCAGATTTTTATCTTTTTTCATGCTGTCATAGATGCTGTTATCAAAGTTGCAATAATATCTGAAAAGCTGCATTACATTGTCAGAAAATTTTGCATCCATTGTATGTTATGCTACCCATTTTGGACACATTTCTTTTGCACACCATGTGCATCCACTGCAATAAACACTGTTCAGCCACTTTGAATTACATGCACTTTTGAGTCATTTGTGACTTTTACATTCAAGCCAAAATCCTAAAAGCACCAGAAGTAATTCTAACAGACTTTACTGAACTGTCAACAATTATTTCATTCTGACTACCCGATTTACAAGCTTCTGTTGTTTTACATGGCTGGCTTCACATTAAATGGTTGCAGCATGTATTCATGCATAGTGTGTTCCAACCTTACATTTAATACAGAAGATAATCTGCTTATGTATGCAAGAAATAACACAGTACAGACACACCTCCTACCTCCAGCCTACCAGATGCCTAAATGGAAGCAGAAATGATAATTGCAACTAGCAGATGGAATCCTTGGACATTATCCCAGAAGCAAAACACATTCTATTGAATGAAATAAGACAGCAAGTATGATAGGTAAACCAAATATTTATTTAAATAACTGAAAAAGTTGACCTTCATCTGAGAAACCCCCTTCGTACTAAAAGTAATCTAAGCTATTAAACCTTGTGCAGTGACATAAATGATTGTACAATGTTATAATAACCTGCTACTGATACCATCAATGAGAGGAGGATGAGTATTACATTAACATTCCTTACATGCCCTTGCTTCTTGTTCCTACCTATCATAATAATCATTCCTCTGACGAGGATGGTAATGAAAAAGAGAACATGAAGGCAATAATCTCTTTTAATGATCAAAATAAAATAAAAATGTTTTTCCTTGAAATTAATTTTTGCAGTACTGACCTTGTATTTCTGAAATCACAAGGAAATTGCCAACTAATTAGTCAACAGGCAGCCAAGGTAGCATGTAGTTGAATTTGGAATTTTTTTCCATTTTTTTTCATGTTCTTTTTTTAGATGTTAGCCAGATGGCTAGACCCATCTGGGAAAGGCTTTGTCAGACTTAATTTATTTGTTTTATAATCCAGTTTAATTTCCATGAAAGGGAACCATAGTATATGAATCTGTCTCCATTAAAATGGATTTTGAAAAATTGGTTGGTGCACTGCTGGACAGGCAGGTGTTCTAAAGGTAAAAATAGTATAGGACAAAGAAAAAATAATATAGCACAAAGTAACAGAAGTATAATTGATACTGTAACCGAGAAATACCTTGTAATGCAAAGGAACATTAGGTTACATAATATGCTGCTCTCTTGAGGTTAGGGTGTTGGGGGTTCTTATAAGGTCAAATGTTAAGGGCTCATTTTAAGGATTTGGTCAAGTGTGTTTTATGGGTTAGTATAGGTGGTAATGATTTGTGTAAGGAAGTTTGGGTGATAAGATGTTTCTT